GCTTGACAATGCTATCTCTGGAGATTCATCGAAACCAAGTTTCTCTTTGTATCTACGATATAGAGTGGTTGGGTTAATTTTCTTTCTTACTGGTCTGGTTATTTTTGCTCTGTTGTATGAGTAGGTTTATGTGTGCGTGTTAGTGTCTATATGCAATACGGTTCCTAAATCAGAGTTGTCAAAGTTTTAATCTCAAGTTATGATTCTCAAGACCTAATGACCCAAGAAAAAACCTTGACTGAGACTGCGTAGGTGCGTAAACAAGTATTGTTAAGATAATGAGATATGAGCTTGTAAGTATAAAACTCAAGTTAATAAACCATTTGTCCTAATATTTAAGTCTAGGGTCATTAACATTTAACCCTCCAAGGAATAGCAAGACTAAGGTTGCGTAATCTGACATGTCTAATTTGGTTGATGAGCTTACTCTTAACATGTTGGAGGATTGTTTGTGAAATTAGGGCCAGTACCGAGCAGACAAATTGAGTCGCCTTCTTTTTGACGGCGGCTCAACACCCTCTCTCTCTTTTAATCTATTAATCAGATATACGTAGTTGCTACTCAACTTTCTACCACCGTTCCTCACATTCAATGTATTTCCAAAGCTATTAATTTCAATAGCCTCTCCTTTCTTTTTTTTTAACCACAGACGTACAATAATCGGCAAACCAACTAGTTTGAGACCATTATATTTCGTGTCCATTTTCTACCATATGTTCGGCAACTTCTGACCCTTGGATACAGCTACCTTTGCAAGCATTTTTATGTTTTACTAATCTTTGTCGAATAGGTCGGCATGTATCACCAACATAACATCGGCCACATGAACAAACAATCTTGTAGCAGCCGGATCTCAATAGTGGGTCATATTTCTCTATTACAAGAATTAAACTCAACTATAATGATCTCCATCATATGATGGACGAAAGCTCAGCACGTTTTCATTCAAAACGAGAGAGAAGTCTTGTGGACTACGTCAAAATGAATATCGTATAAAAACAAAACAGCTGCAGTACAACGAGTTTCAGTAATCCTCATCTGGTGAGATCGACAAACGAATCTCTTCTTGATTCACTTTTTATGCGAAATGAAAGTTCCCGTAATAATATTATCTCTAGAGATTCATCGAAACCCAGTTTCTCTATATCTCTATATCCTTATATATATATATATATATATATAAGTTAGCAAATGATGCATCTCCCTGAATCATGGAATTTTTGATAATGAACTCTTATGAATTCGTCCAATTAGTAGATGAACAGAGGATAGAAATTGGGGATTTGCCTATTGGCTTTGCTTTAGACCCAATATACACGAACATAATGTAAGCGGACTTACTCAAGTTCTAGAATTAACTCCGGACCAAAACGCGAATATTCTGAGAAATACAAATTTATGTAAGGATGCAATAATGAGGTTGACAAATTTGGTTAGAACATTACGTATGTTACTTTCAATAGTAAATTGTACGAAAAAACACTAGAATTAGCTATGGGATTATGTTTGTCCCCAAATTTGGAAAATCACTATATGGTTCAATGAGAAAATTGCCCAATACAAGAAGACATATCATAAGCAGCAAAACAACGGATATGAGACCATTCAATCTCGTGTCTAGTTTCTGCCTTGTGCTTAGCCAGCTACGATTTTTGAACCCAACAGACTCCGTAGGTTATTTTGTGCTCAGCCGAGAACGGCTGTTACTTTTGCTGTCCGTATTATTTTGAGCCATCACTGATGGTCTCATATATATTCGAATACTTACAGATATATACACATATAAAGACAGGCGCCTCACATGCTCCGAGGTTGAGATATGACTGGAACTAACCAAATCATCTTATGCCTCATCGGAGAGTATATATTGTGGATGAGCTGGGGAGTGTTCTTAACTCGTTAACCTGAATTTGGTTGTAAGAATGATAGCCTGCTCTAGTAATACAAGAAGCCCTTTTAGTTCTGAACCTATTTGTTAGGTACATTAATGTTTACGTTGTCGTATGGTAACATTGCAAAGAAAGCTTGTGCGAATTCCTATTAGTAAATGGAATCGATGGGAATGTCAAGAACACCATGGAACTAGAAAAGCATGGTAGTCTATAGTTTAGAGCTGTTCTAGTTAAAATGTGTATATGAGACCCACAAATGCGGGGTTTCTTTTACCTTGCCTTTCAAATCATACTTATAGGGGTTAAAGCAAGAGTCATGAAATCCGTGATAATAATGAACATGTGTCCTGAAGATTTTAACCAAAGAGATCAGTAGATCAGGAGACCAGTAGACCCATACATAAGAGGTAATCTGAAGATAGGACTAGGCCTACTTGTAGCGACACACTCTCAGGCGACATTGGAAGAAACGAGCGAATAGGTAGATGGGACATACGAAGTGGGGTTGACTGAAGGAGATACAACACTAGAAAGTAGTATAAAACATAGTGGCGAGGAGTGATGTCACAACAATTGAACAGAAAATTAATCAAGGAGATTGTCTTCACGTGTCACTTTGATAAGGTATAACTCTGTGCTGATGATGGCACCTCCCATTGACGATGCCGGCGAAACGTCTGGGAATGTACCAAGTCAATGGCTCGATTTTGGACATCTTGAATCCTATGGCATAGGGCACATAACTTTGTGCGTTCCACAAGGTCCCCCTGACGTTTCGACTAAGTTGCGAAAACGAGGTTGAACCAACACTATTAAGCCTGAAAGAAACTGCAATTAAACAAAAGGCCAAACCATCTTTTTTCATAATAGCTACGAATATAAGACAGCATGAAAAGTTTTGTTGGTCCAAAAGTCAGAAGTTTTCCGGCACATAACCCACACAAAACATCAGATAGACTGGCCCAATACAAAACGTTTAGCTTAGTATGGAGACTATACCAGTAAACCAAAAATTAGGGAATCAATATAAATCAACAAAATAACCAACACTCTGATTAGAAGAAATGAGCGTAAGAAATTAGGTGGAAACTGCTTGTGGCTGTTGGGTAGGATTAGGGAGAGAGAGATGGAGGAATATGTACCGTCAAGCAAAAGGAGAAGACTTGATTAGCTTCAAATCTGGTTTTCACTCTCAAACCATACGCGTCTCACGAGCACTGTATGCACACAAAATATGTGCAATGGAACCAAATCACATGCAACAACGCCGCATGATCAAAAAATATACAGGTTTTGTGTGATAATGCAGCCATTTGGTCACAAATGCATCAGTTTCATGGTTCAACTGCGGCCACTTCGCTTTCAATAGTATATAGGAGCATAAGATATCCAACCAAATTATGAGATGTCTCAGCAAGTGGAAATAGCTTGGCTATAAAAGGTAGGTAAAATTTCCGCCGTCCATCTCTGCTGAATTATCGTAAAACATGGTGTTTGCCACATTACGGACGAAAACACAGTATGGATTAATCGGGGTCGCAGGGCAGTGTGCCAAGGACCTATTCGCACAAATCTACAATTACAGCTCCAAGGCAATCTCCTTACAGCTTCCAATAAATCCCTTTCACTCGCTTCTTTAATCGAAATGAAAGGCACTTCAACTAATACCTAAAATATTTTTGTGGCTTAACCTATTTCACGATTCGACTCATCGAACTTTTATATAAATAATATAAAGCATTTAACCCTACCGAACGATCCCAAATTTTGCCCAGCATGTATTCAATCTGGCAAGGCCTTTTAAAGTGACATTTGGATGCTTAATTTAGCGTAGTCAGAACGCAATCTTATAAACGAGAACGCCTGCTGAAGTAAAGTCTTTAAAAAGTGCCATTACTACAAAAATAACTTTTTATTAACTTCACCATTAATATATAATATTGTTCATTTATTTGTACAATATTTATAATATTTATAGAAATTATAAATTTATTTTTGGTTGCGTTGTTTGTTTTGATTATTGAAACTAAGCTATTTTGGATCGCATATTAGTAATCGCGTAGAAGATGGAAAAAATGTATATCTTTTTTCAAAATTATTTTTGTTTAGACGTTCTAATTCAATCAAATCAATTCAATTGTAAAACTTGAATATTCTTAATGCTATTAATAGTACAGAAATCTTAAATATAAGGGATATTATTCCTAGCATCGAGAATCTCAGTCCAAAGGTTTGTGGCTCACACATAATAGTCAGGTTCACAAAATATGCAAACCTTTTTGGTTGGAAAACAAGGATTTGGAAGATATTTTAAAAATAATGGATAAAGAAATGACTACTTCCTTAAATGGGGACTCAAAACTCAGGCCAAAAATGCTTAGTACATTTATACATAACGTTCCAACAGTCAAAGGTATGATTCAAAAATCATTAAATTAAAGAAACCGGAAAATATTTAGCTCTTGATTTGGGTGGAACAAATTACAGGGTTTTGCTAGTGACATTTGATAAGCCAAATACGGAACCCATCATAGAGGAAACTTCATATATCATCCCAAATGAATTAATGCAGA